CCCCAAAACCCCAAAACCCCAAAACCCCGTAGGAATTTAAGGATATTGAGAAACAATATTAAAAGAAACCTAATAGTCTGATTCATCTAAATACTCTTCATCATCATCAGCAGTGGCATCAGTATAAGACTGATATTCACAAGCTAAGTCAAGGAAGTTGCTCTCAGCTTCCATGAACAGCATCTCATCCATGCCATGAGTATAATATTTATGAACAAACTTTTTCTTTCGGAAATGTTTACTGAACTCAAAGCTGTATTGATTAAACAGCTCCTTGATTCCACTCAAATTTCCTATGAAAGTAGCTGAGCTCTTCTGACTAATATCTGGAACTGGTCACACCGAATAGGATATGTTGTTAGGAATCCATTGAGTTGGGTATCAAAACCTAGTTTTGTATATATTGGAAATATTTTCATTAATCTCTCTGAGACTCCAGTCACCTCTGAATCAACAATGGCCTGTAAATATTCGGCCAGCTCCTAAATTGGTATCTATCAAAAAATTCCTAGGATCAATAAGGTCTAAACTCGCAGGTTTCTTTAGATTGCTAGTTACTCCTGGGCGAGGGTGGAAAGGAGCCCCAGCCACTGTGAAAAAATGTAGTCTGGGGAATGGCACCAAGTTTGTACATAATTTCCGTAAACTACTATTAAGGGGTCCTCCAAACCTAGAGGCAGCTGAAATCCCAGCCATTCATGATGTGACCAAGTGATTCATATCAGAGAATGAGGGTCAGCTGATACGTTGAGACTTAAAACAGATTTGGTGTAATTGAAAGTTCTGTACAAGCATTGTCAAGTTCACATGTTCGATTATGTAGTGAAATGCCAACATCATGTTGTAAATTTTAAAGGGATCCGAACAAGCTTCTTGGAGACTTGGAACCATTGTAAATGATTCGATAATAGATTTACTATATTCTCAGCTCATATCCTCTAGTGTTGACATAGTCAGCCCAGATCCAGTACCTCCAACTATAGAGTGTACAATTTGAAACCCCTGTAAAGATTCAGCTCGTTCAACTTCTTGTCTGATTGACTCAATAATTTGCTCTTGAAATCAATTTTCTGTGGTAAAATATCAGCTTGCAAAATTACCCAACCCTCTTGATCAATCTGCATATTGTTTCACTCCAACTATAAAGCTATCAGCATCAAATAAAGAGCCCCACCCACTACTCCTAAACATGGTCTATTATAGAAGGCTCTTGATCTACAAGGATAGTTCTTGGCTTGAAAAACCCACTTGAGATTTCTCTGAAATATACATCAATGCAGTCAAGCTTAGAATCTTCATTAATTTCAGCTGCTTCATTCTCTTCAGTTTTTCAGTATATCCCTTGGGGGTTAAGTGAGTGCTCTTGGGAGATAGATGCCCAGAAGTCAGCCCCAATGCTGTTCCCTCAAGATCCAAACTGAAGCTGGATGATTTCCTTCATAAATTATTGCAAAGATTCAATTAAATAGTTGCGTAATGGGGTTTTGGGGTTTTGGGGTTTTGGGG